TGTGAGTGTGTTACTGTCTGATAGAGATAGAGGGATGTGTGATATAGTGATAATAGGCAGTTACCATGTCTTAGATAAAAAGGTAATTCTATCAATTTATCACTTTCTTTCTTGTTCACCCTCTCAGCCAATAAATTGTGTTAATAGTCTCTGTGGTAGGATAACTATCTATTCATCTATCAATCCATCCATCCATCCATCCATTTATCCATCTATCCATCCCTCCATCCATCCATCCATCCAACACTTCCTTTGTTCTGATTCTCCCTTTCATCTCTCTGGCTCCCTTCTTTGTTCACCTGTCATACTCCACCTTTTCCCAGAATGACGCACGTTGATCCCCTCAGAGAGGTGAGCAGAGGTCGTACCAACCCTCTTCGCAGTGCTAAGACCTGGCTACTGAGGTTGCAGCTGTTCCCTGGACCCAACTACTGGCAGGTTGCAACGCCCTTCTGGCGAACATAGAGCGGTCCACGAGCCCTGAGATACGCGCTTCTGAATGTACCCACTGGGATATTTCACAAAAGGCCAGCTGGGAAGTTGGTGGGAGCCAAGAGGGAGGTGAGGGGGTTGAAGGAGAGGGTAAATAGAGAAAGCAGGGGGGAAAGAGATGATAAGGGTGACATGTGGAGAAGGATTAAAGAAGTGAAGGTGCTGATTTGTGTGTGAGAAATACGGAATAAGAGTTAGAAGGAAATGGTGGGACAGGGTGGGTTGAGGAACGAAGGGCTGGATTCAGACCCATTCTTTGTTTCCATTTGGTTTTTGGAATCTAAAATGGTAGTCAAGATTATTTGAAAATGAAAATGAGTGTGGTATTTCTGGAACTAGAGTTTGTTGCTTCTCATCTTACCTGTCAAATGTTTTGTTTAATTGGGTTCATTCACCTCTTGAACTGTGCAGAGACAGTATGTGGTGTACCTCAAGGATCAATTATTGGACCAGTTCTGTTCTCACAGTGAATGCTGCCACTAGGTCTCATTATTCGTTTTGCAGATGACACAGTTAAATCTCTCAAGTTCTCAGAGTTTGACAAGCTGGCCGCACTTCAGAGCCGCTACACTGATGTGAGAGACTGGTTCTCATGAAACTCTTTGCAGTAAAATTCTGACAAAACAGAGGTCTTTATCTGAGACCCTGAGCACCTCCGTAAAACAAATCCAGATATCATTGTTGTCTTTTTGCAATATGAAAGAATTATTCACGCTTTTATATCTTCACGCCTGGGTTATTGTAATGCTCCATTTGCCTTAATGTTCAAGCTGTGCAGAACTTTACAGCTGGGCTTCCAACAACCACCAGATACACTCTTTAGTCTATTTTTCTGGAATCCCAACTTTAAATCATGCTCATTTCTTACAGGGCTTAACATCAGTGAATCCCTCCTCACCATCCCATTGTCAGATCTGCTGAGTGAGGCCTGGTAATGCCGGTTCACGTCAAAGGGTCACCCAGTCTTTGCTGTACTGGCTCCTGCTGATACAGTCTCGGCTTTTGATGCCTGTTTTATAGACGTCTTCTTATCCGAAAGCTCTGCTTTTATGTCTTTAGACTGCAGCTCAATTTAATGTCCATTTTAAATTAATTTTACTGTATGGTTAATTTACCAAATTGAGAATTAATAAACCGCATAAAGAGGCTGTTGTTATGATTGTATTTTGTATATTTTCATATCTGGGATTATCCCTCACTGGAAAGCATTTTGT